ATGTGTTGCTCTTTAAGCATGCTTCACTTTGTCAGACAGGTTCTATTTAAGTGATTTCTTGATTCAACAGGTCTGGCAGTAATCAGGCCTGGGTGTGGCAAGTGAAATTTAACTCGGCTTTCTAAAATAATGTGGTTAATTGCAGTTCTTTCATGATTTAACAGGAGGGGGCAATTCATTTTTCACGTAGGGCCACGTCGGTTCAGCTTTTTTCCCTTAATAAATGAAATCATCATTTAAAAACTGCATTTTGTATTTACTTGCATTATCTTTGTGTAATATTTAAATTTGTTAGATGATCTGAAACATTAAAGTGTGACAAACATGCAAAAAAAATAAGAAATCAGGAAGGGGGCCAACACTTTTTCACACCACTGTATATACAGTATATATATAATTTTTTTTTTTTTCAGATTTGCTAAATACTTAATTTAAAGGTATTGTTAATTTTGAGCGTTAGACAATGGTAAAAGTAATCCAAATGTAAAAATAAAGGAAATGAGTATTAGCACTAATCAGCAGTCAGATCAATCAAAATATGCATCCCCAATGAGAAAGCTGAGAGGTCTAATTAATCAAATATGAAAATATTTAAATGAACACATTTGCAGCAAATTTGTCTTTTTCCAAAACTCAGAATTGCAGAAAGACAGAAAGTGTATACAGTATATTGTTTTCTGAGCCAAAACCTAATGCATGCAAAAACACTGAGCTATGGTGCTCATAGTGGCAACATTAGTTTGAATCCAGCTTGCAACATTTTCGAATCACTTTCACCTTCCCTCACTGCTATAATTTCTCATCCTCTCTCTACATTTATATTTACATTTATGCCTCTGGCAGACATTTTCATCCAAACTGACTTAATACCTGATTATACCAAGGACAACTAATGATAATAATATAGTTTTAAAAATCATTCTACATTTAAATGAATAGCAGAATTTACACCACAACTATAATTATAATGGCACAGAGGAACTATATTGTTGGAATCACTTTCAGAATGATTTTTTTCCAACTGATAAACGATAAAAACATTGACAGCCAATCCGAATCCATCCTTTAAAGAGCTCAAGCATTTAAAGTAGCAGACGACAGTTCCCTCCGAATTGAACCCATGACATTTTCATTGCTTGCACCATCCTCTACTGTGTGAGCTTCAAAAATGCAATACAAAAATCTTACAAACATAAAAACATTTCTCTGGATTTCTCTCTCTAATCTCATGCTGTCCTCCCATCAGGTCAATGGTATAGACATCAGTAACGTGCCTCACTGTTATGCTGTGGCGGCTCTGAAGCAGCCCTGCACACTGCTGCGGTTGACCGTTCTGCGAGAGCAGCGCCACCGTTACCATTCCCATCATCACTCTCCCACCGAGGCCTTCCCCACCCACACCCCCACCATCCGGGACGACAGCCTGCATGTGGTCCTCGTTAAGAGGGCTCCAGATGAACAGCTGGGCATCAAGCTGGTGCGCAGACCTGACGAACATGGCGTCTTTATCTTCCACCTGCTGGAGGGGGGTCTGGCCGCCCGCGATGGGAGGCTAAGGGTAGACGACCGCGTGCTGGCCATCAATGGCCATGACCTGAGATACGGCACCCCTGAGCATGCAGCACTGCTTATTCAGGTGAGCAGCATTATGGGAGAGGTTATGTGGTGAGTATTAAAGGGATAGTTTACCCCAAAATAACCCTCATGTCATTCCAAACCTGTAAGACCTTCGTTCATCTTCGGAACACAAATTAAGATATTTTTGATGAAATCCAAGAGCTTTCTGACCCTGCATAGACAACAATGCAACTGACACGTTCAAGGCCCAGAAAGGTACTAAGGACATTGTTAAAATAGTCCAGGTGACATCAGTGGTTCAACCTTAATAATTAGTGTAATAAATAATAAATTTGTGTTCCAAAGATAAATGAAGGTCTTACGGGTTTGGAACGACATGAGAGTGAATAATTTTAGAATTTTAATTTTGGGGTGAGCTATCCCTTTAAGGCCTGTGCATACCAACAGACGAAACGGTGATAATGGCACAAATCAAAAGCGTAAATATGCATCAGAACTATTCAAAATAAATGTAATTCAAAGTCAATCCCTAAAAGTGTGCATACCTGAATGGAAATAAAATGCAGTCTTTTCAAGCAAAATATAGCCCATCTGACAACATGGATTTTGTTTGCTTTGATGCAAAATACAGTCTGACTGACAATAACCATGTTCATGCAGTAAACCTTGAATTGCAATGAAATTGCATCACCAAAATGCAGTTAAACCCCCTTTAAATGTGTTTTAAAGAGATGTGAGATAGTGAGAGAATTAGTTTTGGTCTTTCTTCATCCTCTCAGATTGTGAGAGGTGCTTTATTCTTTAGCTTCTTTTGTCTGTACAATCTCACAGACATATTTTTCCACAACACAAGTAATGAAACCATTACTTTTATGGCTGTGTTCACTCACAGCATCAATATGTGACCCTGGACCACAAAACCAGTCTTAAGTCGCTGGGGTATATTTGTAGCAATAGCCAAAAAAAAAACATTGTATGGATCAAAATTATTGATTTTTCTTTTATGCCAAAAATCAGGATATTAAGTAAAGATCATGTTCCATGAAGATATTTTGTAAATTTCCTACCGTAAATATATCAAAACTTCATTTTTGATTAGTAATATGCATTGCCAAGAACTTCATTTGGTTAACTTTAAAGGCGATTTTCTCAATATTTAGATTTTTTTGCACCCTCAGATTCCAGATTTCAAATAGTTGTATCTCGACCAAATATTGTCCTATCCTAACAAACAATACATCAATGGAAAGCTTATTTATTCAGCTTATTTTGAAAATTTGACACTTAAGACTGGTTTTGTGGTCCAGGGTCACATATGAAGTTTTTCCAGCAATGCTACAACTAAACTGCCAAAGCTGATTTCATCAACAGCTTTTGTTCACACATGACCTCTACAATAAATGTTTTTAAATTCACAGGATGCTTGTTCACAAAACAAAACAAAACCACCAATTAAAAAAAAAATCTTAGACTCATCTTGCCCCAGATGTGGTTTGGAACTAGCAGACCCGAGTCATATGTTCTGGGGATGCCCCAGATTAAAAAGTTTTTGGATAGACATCTTTAGAACATTTTCATCTATATGTAATAAAGATATGGACCCTAATCCCTTGACTTCCATTCACCTATCAGCTAATCAGGTAGAAATCATTGCCTTAGCCTTTTCAGCATTTCAAAAAATGAATGTTTACAAAGCCATCTAATCCTAACTTGTGGCGTCTTATTCAGTGAATCGTTCATTAAATGGCAACCCCCCCCCCCCCCCCCGGTTGTGATTGTTGTATAATAATCAGTAAAAAAAACCAGTAAAAACGTTTGAATAATAATAAAATGTGACAAAAACAGCCGGGAAATGTATTTTTGATGCAGTGCTTCACTAATGGTTTGACATTTATAAAGCCTAATATTATTAGAAGTAATGCTAAATAATTTAAGCACTTTTATTGCTAAGCCTTTTCAGCATTTCAAAAAATGAATGTTTACAAAGCCATCTAATCCTAACTTGTGGCGTCTTATTCAGTGAATCGTTCATTAAATGGCAATAATTACACTTTAACCCAGGAGGTTTTTCCTTGAGCAGTATTGCAAAAGATGAAGAGCTTACATAAGGTCTGTAGCAGTTTATTTGATTGTGGTTTCATCTCGGCGGTGAGAAGTGTGTCATAACGATATAAGAGTGTGTAAGAGAGTAGTGAGTGTGTGATTCGATATGTATTTTAGTGTGGTGGGTCTTTCCGAATGTTGTTATTCAGCTTGTTGCTTCCTGTCTGGTTCAGATTGGTCTCGAAGGAGACAAGATGGCCGCTCACAGCAGGAGTTTCTGACACAGATTAACTGCTGGCAGGAAACTGATTAAATTAGTCCAATTAGGCCGATAACAAGCTAAGCCCACTCATTTAAGAGGCAGCGACAGAGCACTGAACTCCCAAGAACTCCATAGGCTCTCAATGCGAGTGTGCACTTGAGAGCAATACAAGCTACGGGGTTGTCAAAATAAAGGGTTAATTAAGAAGAAAGCGGCCGGCGATGCACTCAGATGGAACGATAGGAATGGATGAAAAATAAATCAGAGAGGGAAAAACTAGAGCCTGTGCCCTCCTTCAGCTCACACATACACACAGACTGCAGAATGGATCCCAAATCTCCATATATATTAGTTTTTCTTTAATAAGTACACACCTCTGAGATATAATCACACATTCACACTGAGCTGGAGCTGTAGGGCATTGGCAGTCAGCACAACATCTGGTAATTGTGCTTGCTAGACGTCCGGAGAGTAATGAGACATTACACACACTCTCTCTAGGGTATGAACGAACTATTTAAAATTTTTAATTCAGTTTTTGAACTGCTCGCTCCTCAGGGAAGTTGTTGTCCTCTGTTTGCTCTCCTGTGGAGTTCGAAAGGTTTTTGCAGTAGACAGATAATGTTAAGCCAACTTTCACCCACCATAAGGTCCCATGAAATCAAAATTGGAGTATACCTTCCTTGGGCCAGGTGCGCGGACCTTACAGTTGGCTTTTAGCCCACTCCTACAATATAAAGGCAGCTATATATTTTTATTATAAGATACATTTATACAGTGAAAAAATAAAAAAATATTGCATTTTTTCTGTGCACATTCATAGTAATTTTTAATGCATAAACTTGAAAAAAAAACATAAAATCATGGCTGTGAATAGAATCAAATAATCATGATTAATCTCATAATTTCTTAGCGGTCTTTAAAAAGATTTCATTCCCATTCAGATTTGAGTTTTAACTTATTTTTTATTATTTATATAAATATTGATGACTCATCTTGTGCTATACAGATTTTTGTCCAATCAAATGCTCTCTAGAAGAAAATGTCCCTGTCAAGATAGTTATCTTTACACTTCTAGTTAGCAAACTTTTTCATCATCATTCATAAAACCTCATGCATTAACCTCTCTTAAGGCCTGTTCACACCAAGAAATATAACAGTAAAGATAACTATGATAACTACACTATTCAACATTTGAAGTGGATCAAAACCTTTCATCAAAGTTGTCCTAAAACCTAAAACCAAAATGTGTTCTTGTCTAAGGGCAACTTTGATGAAATTTTATGATCCACTTTAAATGTTGACTACTGTATATTAATATTCACACCTATGGAAGATAATGTTCTGTTTATTATAAGCATGTTGCAGTTTTGTCATCTGCCACTTTAAATGCTCAAGCTCTTTAAAGCAGGATGGATTCTGATTGGCTGTCATTGTTTTTGATCAATCATCAGCTGGAAAATCGTCCTAAAATTGATTACAACAATATCGTTCTACTATGCCATTATCGTTATAGTTGTGGTGTGGATTTCCCTATTTTCATAGACTTGGAACAATTATTAAAACTTTATAGTTATCGTTACAGGTCTTTGGTGTGAACAGGCTTTTAAACCCTAAAAATCACATAAAGCAGAACACTAATGCTATCTGCTATATGTTCTGCAGGCGAGTGAGGACCGCGTCCACTTCATTGTGTCCCGCCAGACTCACATCCCTACTCCGGACATACTACAGGAGGCGCCGTGGAACATGGAGGGACCACCGCCCTACTCGCCTGTGGATATTGAGCACTCTTTACTGGTGGGTTTCATGAGCATAAGCCGCACACACTCTTTATTTCCCGTCCCTCTGCACCGCTTTACTAAACATTCTCTTATTGAGGAAAAAGATCTGAAAGCCTATTACTTCTACATCAAAGATTCAAGCAATCAGCCAGCTCACACACGCACACACACACACACACACACTCTCTCTCTCCTTTGAGACAGCCGTCTCCAAACCTATTAACAGAAGAAAACCCAGCAGGAGGAAACAGCCATGGCAGGCTAGATTTCAGTGCGTCTTCTAAATGGGATTTTCTGCTGCTCAATATCTGCACTGACAACTTCACTTGTTCTAATAAAATTCAAATTCATCGTTAGTCATTTCTCTGTTTCCTTTGCCTTGCAGAAAAAAAACCCCCATCTCAGACCAACTTGTGAAGGTTTGCTGGTTTAAGTGTCAATGACAAATAAAGGCGCAGTTACAATTAGTTGTTCTGTGAATTTTCTTTTTTTGTTTGGTAACACTTTTAAAGTCTTTATTTATAATGCATTATAAAAGTAGTTTTAATGCATTAATTATGCCTTGTAATGCACCTTATAATGCATCGTACAATCTCATGAATAATTGTAACCAAAGTTAATACATTAGAACATATAAATTCATTGTTACACTATGCATTTTAAATTTGGTTATAATTATTTACAAGATATAAGGTATTACAATGTACATTATGAATAATTATAATGCATTATACCTTTTAATAATATTAATAATGCATTATACATAACAGCTTTAAGTAAAGTGTTACCTTTTTTTGGGTCACACCACTTGACATTTTATAACCTGATCTAACCTTGCCTTGACATGAAAAGTCCTAATAATCTGATATTTTAAGAGACTTGTTGACCTTGACACACAGTAATGTGGATCTGCAGGGGTCCTATGATGTAATTTCCTGTTGTTTTTCAAATGGCCCAAAACCCCTATAAAACCAGACCAGA